GTAATGTACTGAGAACTTCCCTCCAGTTTATTATCTGTTTATCTGTGCTTCATCTGCTATTTCATGTCCCCAGTGAATTTTTGTTCTGAGTGATTAAAGTGACCATATCTGGATGTTCCAGCCTTTATCCACCTAACAACAGTCTCAAGACCAAGTCTCATGATTCTTGTCTACACATTTGTGTTAAAACCTATGTCATTAGTGTTTATAACTGAGTTCATTGACTCCGAGATTATCTCCATTACCATGTGAGTTTACTATTCTTTTCTAAGTTCTTTCTGAGCTCCTGGCATCTGGAGATTTGCCTTTCTTTCTTTAGAGCTTAGCTTTGTACCTAAAAATGTTGTGCAATCTTATCTTGCATTTCTGTGTTTTTAATGTGTTTAATATTTGGGGATGGGATCAGGGAGAGAAACCTCTTTGCCTTTGCTTATTCTGCCATGTTTCCAGAACCATTATTTGAATTTCATCCTCATAAAATACCTGGTCTTTGACTCCATCAAAAAATCTATTCATTCATTTTTTTACACGCTTATTTATTGAACACGTTTTGTACTAGAATCTGTGACAGGCCCTGGGGATACTATAATGAATAAAACTAAAAGCCATCAGAGAGATTATAGTGAGAGAGAGTATTGTCTGTTTCTACTGGCTCAGACCTTCTCTCAACTGGGCAAGTTCCTATGCATTGGATTAGACAGGACTGTTCTGTGAATGCAGATGGACTTTCCCAGCCTGACTGGCTTTTTTTCAGCCTCATTTCATTAGTGAAGACTTGACAAAATTGAGACAAACCTAAGTGGATTGGTGAAGGTACGGCTTTCAAAGATCGGCATCTGATTTTATCTTTCCAGGCCAATTTTAAATGACTAGTTGTGCTCTGTTGGCCAGAACTTCTGTATGCTTAGTCTGGTAAGATCTAACTAGTTACAGTCCAGGTAAGTTTGTTTAACCATTCATATATACAATTAATTTAGCATATGGAACAAGGATGTTTGAATGAGGTCTCCATGGATTTAGAAGAAACATGAACTTGGCAAATTAAGCTGGCTTTTGTAGCGACAAAACCATCAAATTTTGATTCCACCTCACTTGGAATATAATCTAAACTGTATAGACCTGGATTTGGTGAGAATCTCATAATTTTAGCCCTAATTTCTGTACATATAACCAGAACCTCAAGCATAGTAGATCCTTAATGAATGTTTGTGTCACAGGGATAACATTTTTGAACAATATTAATGTCCTTTTAACATCCACTCATGTGTGACCTTCCCCATATTTTGAAAGATGTGCCTATTTCCCTCATTGTTCATATATGCTGTGTGTCTTTAAGTGTATGAGTTAAGGGAGGGGATTAGGATTATAAGAGAAATGCAAAAAGATAGTATCAATATTAAAATTTTAGAAATAAGAATAGGACTTTTTCCTAGTCTGTAGCATGACATAATCTTGAAAAGCAAGTGTTGTCAAGAGAGGGTAAAATAGATTTAACATTTTTTATTAATATTCTTTTAATTTACAAATCATAATTGTATATATTTTTAGATTAAAATGTGATGTTTGATGTATGTATACAATATGGAATGATTAAGTCAAGCTAATTACTTATCCATAATCTCACTTAACCATTAATTTTTGTGATGAGACATTTGAAATTAAAACACTTTTCAAAAGTTTTCTTTGACACATGGAGAGCCATGCTTGTGAACTAGGTAGTTCATGTGGTGTCTTTCACAGACAACAGAGGAGATACTACTTCCATCATTTAGGTTGAGGCTTAGTGTCTCCAGCAAGGGACATATGATGCAAAGGAAGTCCATGACAAAGAGGAAAATTGACTGAAAATCTGTCCCTTCTGCATCAAATGAATGTGAAGACAGCGGAAAGAGAATGGTGACAGCTGAGGAAACATATGTTTCGGGGTCTTTTTCTTTTTATAAAATGAGATTGCAGGGTAGGAGTCGTTAGAGAACTTAAGAGAAAATCTAAAATCAGAGAGGTTTTTGTTCTATATCTCATTTGGGCCTCCAGAAGGAAACTGCCTTTCAGTGTTCCCTCCATTTCAAAATGGGGCAGCAGCCACATCTGAGTAAAGGTGATACATGGCATAGTTAGGCAGAGGGAGGACATGAAGTTAGTTCTCAGAGTCACCTTCGATTTCTGTGTGGTACAGTAGACTTTTAGAAGTTCTTGCATGTCCTGTGGAAATACAGAGAAGGTAACTGATGGTGGTATCTGGAGAATCATCATGATGTTTGCTGAGGGCTACAGGGTAGAGGATCCTGAACATGGTTTTAATGATAATAGAAAAATCAAGAAGCAACATTTTTTTTCCTATATGAGTATAGTGTCTAAATGTGTGAACCCTTACACTTGCTGAGAGAATATAGAGATTAATAAGTTCCTTTTCTATCTTTGTTTGCTTAAACTAGCCCTGGTAGGTCATCTCTACTAAGGTATGGCAAGGACCCTGACTGTAGCTCTCTTTTCCCCAACTAGGTTTGACTGAGACAAACACAGTTATGTTATAGTACCCTATGGGGGCCTCTGCAGCTCTCAATTTTGACTGCTCACATCTGCTCAGATTTTGGCAGCTCAGCTAGGCAATTTTCTTAGTTTATTTTCTGTTGCCTTATAACCGAATACCTGAAACTAGGGAATTTATAGAGAAAAGGAATTTGTTTCTTACAATTATGGGGGCTGAGATGTCCAAAGTTGAGGGGATACATCTGGTGAGGGCCTTCTCACTCATGACGGCTCTCTGCAGAGTCCTGAGGTGGCACAGGGCATCACATAGCCAAGGGGCTGAGCATGCTAGCTTAGGTCTCTCTTCCTCTTCTTGTAAATCCACCAGTCCCACTCCTGTGACAATCAATTAATCCATAAATGGATTAAAACATTCATGACCCAATTACCTGGAAAGGCCCTACCTCTCAATACTGCCACATTGGGGATTAAGTTTCAACATAAGTTTCAGGAAAGACAAGCATTCAGATCATGACAGCCATAGTGGCCTAAACACAGTTTTTGAATGCAGCTGTGCTGTGGTAGCTCTAGGAAACATATGCATCTTTTTTATGGGTCAATTCTTAAACTGAAGCAAGCCCTGCTGTACCATCAAGAAGATGTATTCAATCTCCACTTGTTTGACCAGACATGACTCTGGACACAATCTGCTTATTAATACCAACTAGCTGTTACTGGAGCATTGACAAGCTAGGCTGTGATAGGTCATTTGACATATCCCTTATCTACTGGCTCACATTCCCATTTAATTTGACAGGCCAAGCTGTGTAGTGAGGATAATGGTTTGGGTAACTCATTTCTACATTGATTTTGATATGGTATGAATTCCAAAGATCCAACAGGGCTGTATGTGTGTTTTACAGTGTCTCTGTATCTCCATTTCCACTTCTAGAACTGGAGAAATCTACAGCCCTCTATTTAGAATTAGAGATAATGGCAGGTATAAGAAAAACAGGAGAGGAATTTTATTTTTGTATTTAACTATTGGGGAAATATAATATCAAGAGGTCCATCCAGGCCGTACTTGATATATTCTAAAGCCACACTCTATAACCAGAGGAAATATATTTTATTTAAATTCAATTTGTCAAAGTACAAATATCTTTCTACAACTTATGTTTATGTTGTTCTTTTTCAAAACTCAAAAGGTAGTAGTACATTTTATAAGTATCTCTCTGGATTTTATTTGTCGGTTTCACAAACTACAATACAAAGTCTGTTTAAAAGAACTTATTGTAGAAATTTTAAAATTGTACATTTACTTGAAAAGTTATTTTCATAAAGGTTCTTTTCAATATTTCACCTTAGTTTTATAATTGAATGGAAAGGAGATAAGAATTTAAAGATAAAGTACTACTAAAATACTAGACATTTTTTTGTTTTTTCAATTAAAAAAAGTCTTTTTTTTGTATATTGTATACATCCTTACCATTTTCTACTGGATAAATATAACATTAACAGAAAGGGATGTATTGGTACATAAAAGATAACTGTAGAATTTACCATGCATATTGAACATTTTGGTGTTTCCATGTGTTAACATTGTGGAACATCTTCTCAATTTTAATGCATTTAAAAAATTATACTGTTTTTGAAAACTTGTTTAACTTAATGATATGTGTTTACAGAGTTCACACAGATGTTTGAGGAGGACATTACTTTCTATACAAGTGAGGCTCTGACACTCTGAAGCTGAGGTATCAATATGATAAATAGTCACTATTTTATTGTATAGATTGTATTATGAAATTACAATAATATCTTACTGGAAACAAATATAACAAAAAATTTGTTAAGAAATATCAAATCTTTATGTGTGCTCTGGCAGATGGTTACTGAAAATGAGTAAGCTTGTAAAAATTTCGGCATACTGTGATCAGCATTACCAATTATGTCAATGAGCCATATATTTTTAGCCTCAACACAGTGAAAGCTTTCCTTTTGGTAAATGTGAGGTATTATTTAGATGGTTGGGATATTATCTGAATAAGAGAATGGTGTCTTACTAAAAATCAAACATTGTATTTTAAGCTTTAAGATGTTCTCTTTTATATTAAGTTATATTCCAGGTAATAGAGTACCTTTTTTGAAATTGAAAATGCTTTTAACTTCTAAGGCTCTTAACATGAAAATTACTAATGCTTTTATAACCTTCACACTTTGGCCTCCATCAATTTCATTAAATATTTCAACATTTTATCATAACAAGGCTAAATCTAGACTATTGGATTTCCCTTTATATTGTCAACTGCAACAACACATACACTTAGCACTCACGTAATTCACGTTTAAAACCTTGAGTTGGATTCACAAACGAAAGCAATTATAACTACATATTAAAACAGCACAATAATTTTCCAATTTGATATTAATCGCAGTAAATAACATGTTTAAATAATATATATTTCATTTCTCCTTTCTACTCTGTTTCTTGAAATTATCCAGTTTCATTCCATTTGATAAAAATAGCTTTAGGATAGCTTCACCACCACAACACATGCGCCAGCTCTTCCAATGTTAACAGGAACTTCCTAAAACAAAAACAAAAAAAGAAATGCTGGTTGAAGTCTACTTTTAGCATAATATGGAATGCTGGAGTTGAAAAAGTCCTTACTTATTCTGGTCTAACTTTACCTTGTATAAAGGTAAGGGAAATTGCAGCCCAGATAACAGTGTATTGTGCTAGAAAGAACATAGCCTTTAGAATGATATAGACCTTAGTTTGAGGATCAGGTGATCTTGGGTAAGTTTCACTATTCTGATAATTTTTTCACTTGAAAAGTTACAGCATATTTTACTCATCCTTCAAGGTTTTTGTGAGGGTTAGGTTAAATAAGGAATGACAAGGATTTGGCATATAGTATTTATAATACCACTATATATTAGTTCTCTTTCACTCTTTCGAGATCACACAATTAAATAATGACAGAGCCAAGAATAACATCTAGGTCTCTTAGCTACTGGTCTTCAGAAAAGTAAATTCCACAAGCTTATTTAAACGTTTTGTTTATTGTATTTGACCTAACCCCTTGTTTGCTAATTTTTTTTCTTTCATTTCTGGTTGGTCCTAAGCAGTGATAAGGTAAGGAACTACCTACATGGTAGGATATTAGGGTTTCGGAGAGTCATAATGAGTCAGACTGTTGAAGGAGAGAGATAGAAACCCATTAACAGCTGTCTTTATATTAACACCTAATTATTTAGAACAGTAGCCAATTGTACCCTGTAGAATGCAGAGTAGCATGAAGTTAGTATAAGGAAAGGTGAAGTTAGATACCAATCACAAGGTTTGCCTGTTTGTGGAGATGGTGAAGCATTATTCATACTTCATTTGTTATTAACATGTTATTTAATTGACAAAATACCATTAGATATTTTGGAATACATCCGAGGCTATCACTGGTAAGACTATCAAAAGGGTCAAGTTAGCCTTTAACATCTCCAAGATGCCTTTTCAGTGCTCTTTTTTGTACCCTCCTTAGAATTTTTCCTATTAGATGCCCAGCACTTTTGAGAGAGTTTAATTCTGGTCTCTTACTGTGCCCTAAATTCCTTGAATAATTGAAGAAGTTAGGAATATTGTAGTTTACACAATCTCTATACGGAAAAGATTGAAGGCTCTTCTGGGCACCAGCCAATAAGAAGGGCAGACACTTGTGGAAGAAGACAATGCCCTTTGGTTCTCAAGTCATAATACCTACATAGAAAGTTGACCAGGGTAAAGCTCTTAAATTAATGAATTTGATTCACTTCTTTTCTGTGAAAGGAATGCTTCCATGAATTCAAGATAATGGTCTGTCCCCCTTCATATAAGTACTGATGGATCCTGTTAATGACCAACTAGACCAACTAGTAATTTTCTAAGACATAAATAAATAGATAAATTTTACTAAAAGATCTGGTTATGCCCTAGAGAGAAATAGAATGGAATTAACTCCAAAAATACATTTTAAAATCTATTAAAGCCTGAAATATACTAATTTGAGTATTGCATGGGAGTACCTCTTTCCATTCATTTTTCTGTGCATCATATGACTCAACAGTGTTCAAATAAGTATGTCCATCATATCCTCCAACCACATAGAGCTTGTCTCCCAGGGGGCACACAGCAACTGCATCTCTAGGAACACTCAGAGGCGCCACAGTTGACCATGAATCATTCTTTGGATCATACCTTAAAAGGTGGAGGAAACAATTAAGAGGGGATGGCCAATAGTGTTACAGTGTAAAATAATAGACATAAATAAAATGTACACATATCTAAAATACGCAATTAAACATGCATTATAAATATCAAGTGTAAGTGGACTAAAAAATATTAAGGATATGACAAAATTCTCTGCAGCCACCAGAGGTCTCTCAAAGCATACCAAAAAAGTATTTTCCTGTCCAGGATACCATGTGTTTCTTTCACCAGTACCCAGATTCTCTTTGAGTAATTTTCACATATTGTGGTCTTAACATTATATGAAAAATGCCTCCTCTCTCATTTAGTATTCTGATTAAAGAGCCTTTGATTTTCTCTTACTATTTGTTCATCAAAGTTATACATGAGATGTCTGATCCTGTTTATATGAGATCTCATATTTTAAAGTAAACCTAAGTATAATTGCCTTTTGTTTTAGTTTTGCTCTGTGAAATGTTACCCTGGTTTTAATACTATTTTCAGTTAGAATGGCCAT